AAACAATTTATCCGTGGCTCAATGCAAATATAGGGTTAATGTTATTTTTGAGCAAACGTTAAAAAAAATATCTTATCTGAATTTTTAACAGATTTGGTTCCAAATAAAAATTAAGTGTCCTAATATGTAACTGTTTGAAAATACTGATACATAAATAGGTTATATTATTAATAGACTACTACTGTGATTTTGCGACCAAAAAGTGGGCCAAAATTTCGTCTACTCCAAATCGAATGTTGTCGTWCATCGTTTGACGAAAAACTTGAACTACATTTCGGCCGTACAATTATATTTTTATTAATTGAAAAATAAATCCGACGTGAAACTCATATYCAATAAACAAAATAGGCAATCTTTAAAAGTCAAGAAGAACATATCTGATACAGAAAAGTTCATTACTGAGCAAATGAAAAAATTGAATGATTGACAAGACTGATGATGTACAGGTCGTCAAAATGCATGTCATAGGTAATATAAATGCTTAAACCACATTATTTTTGTTTTATCATTATGCGTTTCAATTGTTATCTTTGACTTGTTTGATATTGGGCAAGACTATTCCCATATTCGATTATTATGACAAATACGAATAATATACGAAATAACTCATAAGTTATACTATGGCACTGCACTGGTACACACATATTGCCTACCTAGCACTCCTCTAGTCTAAACTCCATTGTTGAAAACGTTAATTTCGACACAGTTTTAAWATTACCTGCCCGTTTATAGGTGTATTACGATGAGAATAATTCGGAACCAATTCGTAAATAATGTGCAGTTATCTATAATAACAATTAATAATCCTGGAGGAACCAAAATTCGGTGACAGGCAGTGAATCGATTCACATTGGCGTCCTAATCGATGATTYACATGAATATATTATGACTCACGCATGTTTATGGGGTGGAAAAAAATCACACAATAATATTTTACGCCACGACGTGATGTGACACGCGTAACACTGGCGAAGTATAGGCTCAAGGCCGATAACAATATGTATGCTTGATTGAAATAAAATTAATTAACTTAATTTAAAATATGCTTATAGTTAAAAAATAATATTTATAATAAACACAATAATAATATAAATAATCGTATTGTACATTATACCATCCGTCATTTCATCATCAAGCGGGGCGATGAATCATCATCGTCTCTGCGTGTGGCGGAGGCGGCGACGGCGACGACGCGCGAGGGGTTCGTCGAACGGGTGCTGTCAAGGTGGATTAATCCACACCTAACAAGCAGCATAATAATATAAGAATATGATAATAATATGTACGCGCGCGCGTTCGACGATCGATGGCGATAATGTATAATAACGGATGGGCACAGTGTAACACTGCGGTGCGCGTATGTACAATATGAGTCACCGGGACGAGTCGGCGTGCGGCGAAGGGAATCTGTCCAGCTCCTTTCGTATGGCCTCGATGAGCGGCACGGCGGGATCCTGGGGGGGCAGGTTGGCGTCCGAGCTGATGAACTCGGTGCGCACGGCCGGCCGGTGGAACGGGCCCGCGCTCAACGGTCGCGGCACGAACACCGACTGGTCGGAACCGGCCCACGCCT